TTTTTTTTTTTGCTTAGTTTATATGGCATATTGGATGGCGACCAATGGTGTTAGTTAATGTAATTGGTTGAGCAGGTGACCTTCCTTATCAAACCAGTAAATACAAAAATGTACTAATGACCTTCCTTATCAAACCAGTAAATACAAAAATGTACTAACTTCAAGTTTAATGTAAGTTATTAGAATTGGAATCCCGGAATTTAGTTCAATTAATTAATGGATTTACTTTTTTTAAAATGATAAACAAATCCCAATATTTACAGGATTAAAATTCTTTTATGCTAATTAACCTTTCAAATTGAAGTAACGTTGAGCCCAAGTCACCTCTTTATGCTGTTGTTATCCCAGTATTTATACACGACGATGACAACATACGGGGGATATAGACCTGATGGAGATATCCTATTTTGAATAATTCAGTTGCCAAAAATAGCATAAATTCTCAAACAAAAATCATGGAGTAAAAAGTAGGATATAACTAAAAAACCGAAACTACATTTTTTCCTCCATCTGAAACATCATGCTTTTGCCATTCATAAAAGGGCAACTCATACCAACATGGAGGATGGTCTAGGACAATTTTTCTTCTGGAAATTTTAAATTTTCATATATTTTATATATATTTTTTATTTTTTATCGATAATCTACTTTTTACTATTTCAAATTTTATAAATTCATTTATAACCTAAAATTTTGCGTTCGCCCCAGCCGACATAATGATATTGACTCCAATACGTTCTATATACTTTTTAAATCAATTAACCACCCAGATTCTTCAACTCATAAAATTATTTTAGTATAAAATACCCATACAGAGAATATACAAAAAAATATTAAATAAAAAAGGTTTCACCCACCTCATTTAATAAGCTTAATCCAAGTCTTGGGTAAGAAATGGTTGAGATAGAAAGAATTTAATGTGCAGCGCCCACTAGCAGTAAATACGTAGCTAGAAGCCAAGAACATGATCGGGGTAATGGAGACAACTCACCGCAAAATCATATTCCAACTTATATATATATATATTAACAGTGGTTGCTAAAGTATTGAAAGTTGAAAATTTGAATTCTTTAATACAACGTAAATACTACTAGGAGAGCAGTAGGCGAGTAGTTCATCATCCACTATAATTATGTGAATCCATCAAAACAAGTCGTATCATCTTCAGCCTTGAGATTGAGACCCCCCGGTTGCGGTCCCTATTCTCCCTTCCCAATATGTTAAGCATGCGGTAACTAGTTTTTTACTTATAGTTTTTGGTTTTTTTTTAGTAAAGCTTTCTCTCTTACCTGAAACCCTTTGATGTTGATCATTTGTCTCTCTGAAAATTTAGACTGTGACATCTTCCAATGAAGAAAAGCACAAGAGAAGTAAATGGTAGTTTTTTCCCCCTTTCTCCTGTCAATTAATCTTTTTATCAGGTTTCTACCCAGTTCATTCTTTTCTTCAATTTAACTAAGGAGAACCGACTCACGATTCCTCATCCAAGGAAAAGACCACTTATTTTTTTTCCAGAAAGGAATTATACCCATTGTGGAATCGCCCGATCACATTTGATTGCTTTTATCTCCTGTTATATGGAACCAGATAGCATTGATTGTATGACATATTCAGATGTTATCGATGATGATGAGATCCATCATCATAACCAGTTGCATTCATTGTCGAAACCCCGTGGCAACAACGGGAACAACAACAACAGCAGTACTGTATCATCAGCGGTTCGTCCAAGCACTACCAGTGTTCATGAGCTCCTTGAATGTCCTGTTTGTACCAATTCTATGTACCCTCCTATCCATCAGGTCAGTCTTTAATCCTGTTTCTTTTGTGGGTTTATCTTTTGTTGAAGAAGAATCACTCTCTTTTCGGTGTTTGAGTAGTCTGGGTTCTTTCTTTTTCTTGGTTTTTACGGCTCTTTAAGTTTAATCTCTTCTGTTGGATCTGTGTTTTCTCGGGTTAGAATAGTACCGGTATCATAGAAACTTGTTGGCTTGGATGCTATTTTAGGGTGGCTTTGTTTGATTAATTCTTTGATAAGGGGTTGTAATAGAGAAGTTGAACTTGAGGATGGTATGAGTCTAAAGTTACATCTTCTGGGAATTCGATTTTTGGAATTTCTATAGTTCGGTTTTGATGGTTTACTTAGATGTACACTTAACAGTTTCTTTCTGTTTGAGGGATCAAGACTAAAGGCAGATAAATGTGTGTGGTTTCATCAAGTTGAATTCTGTCTTGATTTTCTTATCAGCCCTTCCTATGAGGTGCTTACTGCCTCGGTATTTAATCGATTGAAGAAGTGAACATGAGAATAATGATGAACTATAACAGCTTTCCATTAGTATGGGGAAGGAGAAAACACAAGAGGATGATGGACTGATCATATTGTAATTGTGAGACATCAACACTGTAGTTTTCTACCTATATTTCCCTCTATTCGTAAGGAAGTCCTTTCTAATCGGGAATAGCAAACTATGGATTGTAAACAGGAGTGGCCTGTGTGCATGTTTGTTTTGAGAAGGATATTAGAAATGTGTGGTTTTAAGTGATTTTCGTTTTCTCTCTTTCTATATAGACTAAGAAGGTCAAATTGAAAAGGAAACTAAATACTATCAGGTTAGGCAAACTTAAGAATCAATGTCTGTTCCCATGAGAGTTCAGTAGGATGTTTTGCGTGAGGAGAAAACTAGAGATGATATCTTTCAATTTTCATAATTTCACAGAAAAAAATAGAATAGTAGTTTCACCTACAGGCTACAGGATAAGAAATGCTGATAAAGGTGTTTAGAGCTATGGAAATTGAGGAGTGTCTTAGCATCTGCTGTTTCATTCATCATTCTCACAACAACTACGTATTACATTCGATGGAGCATTATCTTGATATCAAATAACTTCTATTCATTCTTTTTCCTTTCTCCTTGTGAATGCATTGCATTAGCATGCAGAGGGTGAGGTGGCTGGTCATTAGGCTTCGACCTAAAGCTTCGACGATGTTTAAAACACCCTTTTCGCTTTCGCCCTTTGTTATAGGGGTCCCCCGGTGGGGTGCCAAACCTTTGGCATATTGTATTTTTTTGCTTAGACATGGTACAACTGCATGTTTTTATGTTTGCCCCTGTTCTATGCTGATAAAACATATTGATCTAAAAATGGTCCCAAAGTTGTACCAGTTTCTTAAATTGCACATGTCAATTGCTAGATTCTATTTTCTAAACCATTAGTTGTGTGCAACAGAGTTTTCCAATGCCCTTTAAATGCTACTAGTGCTATTGTACTGGATTTCTCATTGTCTTATGTGAAGCGGATCTACCTTCTTGATATAATTTTGTACCTTATTATAGGTGTTTTAACCATTTGTTGTTCCTCAGTGCCACAATGGTCATACCCTATGTTCAGCCTGTAAAACAAGGGTACACAATCGATGTCCCACTTGTAGACAGGAGCTTGGTGATATTAGGTGTCTAGCACTAGAGAAGGTAGCTGAATCACTTGAACTGCCTTGCAAATATACGTCGCTCGGATGCCCGGAGATCTTTCCCTACTACGGTAAACTCAAACACGAGGCCCTATGTAACTTCAGGCCGTACAATTGCCCATATGCTGGATCAAAATGTACTGTTGTTGGTGATATACCATTTCTTGTTGCTCATCTAAGGGATGACCACAAGGTGGACATGCATTCTGGGTGCACATTTAACCATCGTTATGTCAAGTCCAATCCTCGGGAAGTAGAAAACGCTACCTGGATGCTTACTGTGAGTTACATTCATTTTAAAGCATCTTCCTTTTGATTAAGAATTGAACTATATAATTTATAGATGATGAAAACGAGATATACATCTTGCCGGTAATCTTTTTCTTTCTTATACATGGAACATGGTCTTGCCAGAAGTAAATTTTCAGTCTTGTGCTTGCTCTCTTTGCCTCACTTGCATCAGTTTGGTGACTTAGTTTCTTTAATAAAATAAGTAACCCTTCTCTAGTCTTCTTTGATGTAGATAATGAAGAACATCGTTGCCAGTTGAAAAGCATAATTTTCCTTTTTAGTTTCCCGAACTCTAAATGGTTTGTATCTTTTGTCATGTATGGTCAGGTATTCCACTGTTTTGGCCAGTACTTTTGTCTCCATTTCGAAGCCTTCCAGCTCGGGATGGCCCCTGTTTATATGGCATTCCTTCGTTTCATGGGCGATGAGATCGAAGCCCGCAACTACAGTTACAGCCTAGAAGTTGGGGGCAATGGTAAGAAACTCATCTGGGAAGGCACCCAAGAAGCATAAGAGATAGCCACCTAAAGGTTAGGGATGGCCACGATGGCCTTATCATACAACGTAACATGGCACTTTTCTTCTCCGGCGGGGATAGGAAAGAACTGAAGCTGCGAGTAACGGGGCGGATATGGAAAGAACAACAAAACCCTGAAGGGGGTGCTTGCATACCCAACCTCTGTAGTTAAAAATACTCCATTTTGGAACTCTGTTGCACAAGCCATTATACTGTTTGCTGCATATTGTGGTGTAATATTAATATTGCCCTGCAAATCATTGTTGAGAATTCTTGTATTCTGTGTGGATATTGGATGCTTTAACCTTTTCTCAATCAACAATAAGCTTCTTAACCCTTTCCTATGGCCTCAACAAAAGAGTTAAAGAAATGCAGCCCAAAAATGAAGTTATTCCATCGATTCCCCATGCTCAGTGAATAAAAAGATAAAAGATGTAACAGACAAATGTGATCAAACAAAGAAAGCTGATGAAATCACCATATATTTTTGAAGACAGGTGGGAATGCATGAATGGTTTAGTTGCATAAACATTCAAAAAATATATAATTTGAGATTCACCAAGTGATTAAGAGCTTAAGGGGGTTTACAGCATAACACGGGGGAGAAGAGAGAAAATTTGATGGTAATCCTAGAAAGTCGTAGGATGGGGGAATGCATTCCTTTTCTTTCATCTTTCTGGAGGATGAATAGCAACGAAAACTGGTAAGACGAAGACGACAATGGGGAACGCCCAGGTTTTCACTCTTTTCTTCTTCCTTTTCTTTCATCATTCTCCCATTGTTTTAACTTCCCCAGCTTTTCGGGACAGGAATTCAGTAAGACACCCCATCTATCGACCACACCATCTCCCTCTCCCTCGAAGACCAAACGCCAATCAACCACCCTATTATCATCATCCTCGAAGACCTAATAAACCACCTAGCCGTTACCCAAAGTCTTACCTTCCTCAATCGGAGATAAGACAAATCCTCAAGGCCCACAACGAGGCTCGAGCTCACGAGTCTGAATCATTCTACGTCTGGAATGAAATCCTTGCTAACTACGCTCGTAACTGGGCCAATAAACGCGTCAATGACTGCCTTCTTCTCCACTCCGATGGACCCTATGGCGAGAATATCTTCAGGGCGACCAAAAGCCACTGGAGCATTGCTAAAGCCGTTAAATCATGGGTGGCTGAGGAGAAGTATTACGACAAGAAGAAGAATGCTTGTCAGCCGAGCAAAATGTGCGGCCATTATACACAGATTGTATGGAGGGATACGGTGAATGTAGGATGTGCCAGAGTCAAGTGTGCAAAGGGTGGCGTCTTTATTATTTGCTCATACGACCCCCCTGGGAATTTCCAAGATGAAAACCCTTTTGCTTCCCAAAAACAACCCTAGTACGATCCCCCTCCAAATCCAATTTGTATCTAGAAAACACAAATCTCACACGTCTAATTTTGAAATAAGAAGTCCTCAAATGAAATAAGGTTAACATGTGCTTAGATGACAATTTTGAAGGTTTATAAACATGATTTGATTATTATATGTACACATATGATGAATATTCGTGACGAATTCTTTGAGAGAATTATACATTCTTATTACTTTTATTTTATTCACTGTATGTTATACATTTATATTTTTTTTATCATGCTGCCGTTGACTTTGTTTTGTAACGATGTTATGACGTGACTCTTTCTTCTCCTTCTCAAAGGATGGTTCATCAAGCAAACCAAATGAAGTTAATAATTCAAGTGGGGTAAGTAGCTCATTCACTAGTAAATCCAGGAAAAAAAAATTGGAACAAAAGAAATATGTCACCTTTGCAGGCATTGACGCCTGATTTGGCCGCAATAAAAATCAGCAAGGATGAAGACATTGTTGCCACTGATGACAACTCTAGAAAGGAATCACAGCAGAGAGAGAAAAGGAAGTCCAGAAATGGCGTTTTATGGCAACCAAGACTTGAAGCTTCAACACTCTCCCTGGCATTTCAAGAGAACTCACCGGTCACGACTCACATGGGTCAGATCAATTCCACCAGGAATTGCCCGACACGGAGAGAAAGCAAATATAAAAGAAGAAAGAAAAGAGTTGGAAAAAAAAAACTCCGGGAAAGAAAACTTTTCGAGATGATGCCCTTATTAATTGTACTAATGTTACGTACCAAAGTCACGTTGCTGGTGCATAATCAAAACCAAAGTTCATTGTATTGTGACCATAATCAAAACATCAGAGGTTAGCTCTAATGCAGTAGATTCATAAGCATTTCTCCATCACTCAACACAACAGAACTCTATCAATTTACTTTGCTGATACATCTAACACAAAGTACCGAATGCTTTAAACTAGTTTGTTTATCCTTACCACATTCAATTGAAAGGAACTTCGAGGAGGACTACTATCAAACTAGTTTTTCCTCGCATTTTACTTTCCTAGCTTATTACTATGACACTTAAAGAGTGGAAAACATATGACTAAAAGCCTAAGAGAAATATCCACCACTTAGGAAAAGCACTAGTCGAGGCACTGGGATATAGGGCTAAGACTCCATTTTTGGTAGGGTTTCCTAACATTCAGCCGAGAATCTAACTTATCAACAGAAAAAAACAAGCGGGGTTAATTCATTTTTTGTTGGACTTGCATTACACTGAGCTTGCCGAGTTGGTGGACAAAGCTTTGTTGTTGCAGACCCTCAAAGAAGCTGTCGGTAAACACAATATCACCTCGTAGAAGCCTCTACTCAATCTCCGCCGTGAAACCTAAAGGAGCTCGGAAGTTGATATCAGAGCCAACCGCTTGAAAAAGAAAAAATAACTCTAGTGATCGAAAATGCCTTATAATATACGATTTTAATCGAAAATTTATTTTTTTGGATTTTCGCAAATCCAAACTAGGACGCCTGGCTCCAGGCCCGTCGCTAGCCCTGGCATCGGCTCCAGGACCCAACAAACCCCACCACTATTTCAACGGGATGAGGCAACGTCAAAGATTTCATCCAACTATAGTACGGCGGGACAATGAAATGGCAGACATTTTAGTGAACTTAACATTATTAGCCACTGAAATGGGCCGCCTGGTTTTCGAGGGCTACATTTTAACGGTTTAAGCACCCAACGACGACGGACCAGCTGAGTGAACCGGGCGAAGCGGTTCTTGCTCGAACCCTGTATTCTCAAGTCTCTCTAAACTCTCTTGCTCTATTGCATTGTGCCCACCAGTATCTATCCCCAACTAGTGAATTTTCCTTCTTCGTATTTGCCTCAGGTTTGGATTCCTCCTGTCAAGTGTTACTTGGAACGAGGACAAGAATGGGAAGATAAGCGACAAATGGGTAAGAAAGAATGAAAAAGATAATATATATATATATATATATTGTTGTACTTCCGTTTATTCTTGATTAACTCCGACAACATCATACACTTGTTTTTTTTATGGGTCTTTCGGTACGGATTTTAAAAAAATTAGGCTTAAATATATAAAAGGTGCCTAATATATGAATATTTTTTTAGTTTAGTGTCTAACATTTATTTAGTTTCAGTTTGGTGTCTAACGTTTCATTTCGTTACGTAAAATGGGTCAAACAGTGACAGACCGTTAGTTTTCTCCGTTAAGTGACATAGTTTTCTCCGTTATATTATACATGTCACAATCTTGTAATTTTATTTTTTTTAAATTAAAAAATATTATATTTATAAAAAAACCCTTATTTCTTTTAAACAAAAAACCTCAAAATTCCTAAAATCTCCAAATCCTAACACTAACTCACTGTCGCCGTCCTTTCTGGCCACGACCACCATCGCCGACGTAGTTCTTGTCATTATCCTAATTATAAGTCGTCATAGTTGTCATCGATTGGTCGTCGAAATCGCTTAGGGTTGAGATTTTTATTCTAGAGTTTGCGGGGTATAGAATGTCGATCTGCCGTCCATCAGACTTTGACTAGTTACAATTTCATAGGGGTTTCGGTCGTCGTTATGAAATGAGGTTGAGTGGAGCTTTATCAATGGAAAAGGGATACGGTTTAAGGGTTGAAATAAATGTTTTTAAAGTTTTGGGGTTATTTCAAAATGTGTTTTCTTTTTTTTTTAAATATAAATTTTTTTTTATTTTATATCAAAATTTTGAAATTATCATATTGTGACATGTGTCACTTAATGGAAGAAATTAACGGTCCGTCATGACTTACCCTTTTTAAGTAACAAAATGAACATTAGGCATCAAGCTAGAACAGAAAAAACGTTAGACACTAAACTAGAAAAAACAAATATATATTGAGCACATTTTGTATATTTAAGCCAAAAATTTAATAAAAAAAATACCATGTTATCACAAATTAGGGGGAAAACAATAGAGTGGTTAAAAATTAAATGTTTAAAGTTGAGTGATTAAATTAAAATATTTTAAAAAATTAATTGCCAACTTAGATTTCGATTAATGGGTTAACGAGATTTAACGACCGAGGGATTGAATGACGGTAATATGAGAGACTAAAATCACTTTTTTTTTAAACGGTAACCAAAATCGGTCAGACCGAAAACATATAGCTTATCTTTTAATAATTTTAATCTACATAGATTCAACTTTTATTTCTCATACAACATAATTTACGTTTTTTTTTGTTTAGACTACCATCAAATGGTCAAAATTTAGAAGGTTTATAAACTCGAATGCTAAAAGATGTTGATTTACGATAATTTATCAATTGATCAATAGATTAAAGATATTTATATTATATTATTTTATGTGAATTTGAATTTTAATAATTACTTTAAAAATATAATACCTCTCCATATAATCTAAAAAGAAGTTGATTTGTATACATATTTTTATGATTAATGTCGGGAAATAAAATGATATCGCAATTGTATGTGCTTCGTTCTGGAATGAAAAGACGGATTCTTTGCTAGATGGATAGCACTTTGACTGTCGTAATACAAGACATTGTTTTCTTGTTTCTTGCCTAACTCTTCCAAGAAACTTTGGAGCCAAACCATCTCCTTGCTGACTTCCGTAACAGCGACATATTATGCTTCAGTTGTGGAGAGAGCAACTATCTTTTGTAGTTGAGAAACCCAACTCACTACAGTACCTCCTAGAGTATAGACATACCCTGTAGTTCTCCTTCTGATGTCAACATTTCCTGCTAAGTTAGCATCTAAATAGTCTGTTAGTATCGTATCTCCACCTTTGAAACAAAGTTCTTTATTTGTAGTACCCCGCATATATCTGAGGATCCATTTGACTACTTCCCAGTGTACCTTGCTCAGATTATTCATGTACCTGCTAATAGCTCCCACTGCTTGAGCAATATCTGGTCTGGTACAAACCATGGCATACATCAAACTTCCAATTACTGAGGCATACGACATCTTCACCATGTGTGCATGTTCTTCCTCCGTCTTTGGTGACTGTTCTTTGGAGAGTCTAAAATGAACACCTAAAGGTGTACTTACTTGTTTAACATCTTGCATGTTGAACCTGGAGAGTACTTTGTTAATGTACTCAGCCTGTGTTAACATCAAAGTCCCCGACTTTGTGTCTCTCTTGATCTTCATCCCAAGAATCTGCTTTGCAGCACCCAGATCCTTCATAGCAAACTGCTTCGACAATTTTTGCTTCAAGTTTATAATCTCTTGCTTGTCTAAACCTGCAACAAGCATGTCATCAACATAAAACAATAAAATAATGAAACTGTTGTCAAACTTCTTGATATAACAACAATGATCTGCTTGACATCTGGTAAAACCACTGTTACCCATGAAACTATCAAACTTCTTGGACCATTGTCTAGGAGTTTGTTTTAAACCATACAAATTCTTCTTCAACCTGCATACCAGGTTTTTCTTGCCTGCCTCTACGAAGCATTCAGGTTGTCTCATATAGATTTCTTCCTCCAAATCACCATGAAGGAAAGTTGTCTTCACATCTAACCAATGTTTTTAAAACCGGACCGGACATTGAACCGGTAAAGGTACTGGTTCACTGGTTCAACCGCGGTTGAACCGGATTTTATATAAAATAATATTTTTTTTTAATTTTACATAATATTCAGAGCAATATTAATATATATGTAACACTTTTTTTAAGTTTACAATATTAAAAGGTATAAAAATATCACAAGTCATAACATATATAAATTAAAAACCATAAAATCAAGTGAAACAAAATGATTCAAATCAACTACAACATAATATTTAAGGTAAAACATATTAAATAATAAATATAATTATATAACTATAATAAAAAAATAAAACTGGGCTTAAAAAATCATAACAAATGATGTCATTTGGTTTAATTAAAAAAAAAACAAACAATCCCACATGGCTAAGAAACATAGAAGAGCATCCCAAAAGTTTAAAGAGTAAAAATATGAGAACAAAACAATCTCACATGGC